ATCTAAACGTTTTGATCTCAAAAAATGTATATACAATGCAAATCCGAAATAAAACTTCTGTTTCCATGATTTCAGATATCCTGCTTGATCTAATGGAAACAAGGTATTTTTAGGTGTAAATAATTATATGTTAATTTATTACTCAAATATTGTGTAATAATACTAATTAAATAGTTTTAGTCCAGGCATATCTTGGTATTTGATGAGGAAATATTCTGATCCGGATTTTTAATAAGTACCTCTTTTAACGGATCTGCATGTTGCCAGTGCCAAATTTGAATCAAACATTTTTTTAAGCAATCTTTGTAAGACTTTCGCTCAGGTCAAAGTGCTTTTAGGCATTCTGAATAAAAAAGGTGCTTTAAAACTTTTCTCTAAAGTTGGTAGTTTTCGTGATATAAGCGATATAGTATTTGAAGAAGGGCGAAATATGTCAATATGAAAAAATGAAAATTCCAACGTTGCCTATGTTCCTAAATATTCTTCAAAGATCCGTTAACAAAATCCCAAAGAATTTCACGTCGCAGTTATTGTAAACCTTTGTTTTTCAATTGTTAATCGAGCACACGCTCGGTTTACAAAGCAATACGTCCTGAAGTGTTTTCAGATTTTATTAACGGACATGTCAAGAATATTTATGAATATTGGTAAAACATACTTTTTGGAATTTCTTTAAAAAATTTTTGACGCAAATTTGGCCCTGTCGACATGCAGCTCCGTTAAAAGGGACCCTTTTTGAATGAGATTATGCCAAAAACCCGAATATTTTTCCTATCAGGTATTTCCCAGACTATTCCACCAAAGTAATTCATCAATATTGAGATTTTTTACTGATACACAAACACCAGAACTTGCCGCTTTCGTTTATCCTAGTTAATCGAGCCTAAAACATTCATTAACTCACTGGATACCGTTGTCCCTTTTCTTACCCTAATAATAACGTACATGGTTTATGCCGATATTGTAAAAATTTTTGAAAATACCGACGCAACGCTCACCGCTATAATGGAATCATGTAATCAGTAATTGAAAAATAAATATTTATGATCGATACACTTATCGTTCGAATTACCAAGTTGCCAATGGATATATGAAAAATTACATCATACATAAATGAAACTGTTTCCTTATAACGAATGTATCAAGTATTAGTGCTTTGATTAAATCAAAATTGAAGTAAATTTCACTATCTAACGGAAGAAATGGATCTACGGATATAGCGATGAGCATAAAATCTTTGAACTGAAAAGGTTCTCGTCTATAAAGTAATGATTTCAGAAAAAACTATACAGAACAAAGCCCAACATTTAAATACATTTGTGTAACACTGCATCTGATGCAGATAGAATATTATAGATAAAAACAATGAATGATTGGGCTGCAAAAAGCATAAAAAGAAAAAAACAGCTGCCAAATGAATTCAATGATTAAGTACTAATTCTACGAAAGAAAGCAATATAATTTCTAAAACGAAAACTTCCACCTACTGGGACGTGTAAAACCTACAATAATACTTATAAAAACTGGTAACTAAAGACACCATCAACTAAAATATATACTTAGCACCATTTTTTTAATTAGTTCTCTCAAAGCTGAACTGTCACGAAAATATAAAATTTTTCTGAACTACATTCATTGGTGGTGCGTAAATGTCCGGTGTTGAAACTCAGCTTTAGTTCTAACTTTATCGTAGAGACAGACAGATGACGACGGTGTGAATACTGAGGAATCATAGCATACTATATAGGCTAAGGGTCGCGGTTTTTTGTTCGAAACAATGCTTGTCAAATAAAATAAAGATTGATAAACATCTGTAAATGAGATCCACCGCATACAGGCGATTGGAAAAAATTGTGTACTGATCAATGTCACTAATAATAGAATTCGTAGATACAGTGGTGAAATGCACGTCCTCAATAGAAACATAAAAAAACTTCAAGAATAATTCGGTTACATACCTTTCCTGAGACGTATGCTGGAAAGAAAGCGAAATGCGAAAAAATCCACCCATATTCCTAAAAAGTCGTGAAACCGGAAATATGAGAAGATAAAGTAATTGTTCTGATAATAGTTTAAATGCGCTGCGAGTACTATTAATTGTGAGATTGATCAGCAGTCGAAACGTAACTTATGTGAGCAAATTAATGTTGGAACAGCGAAGTCGATCACCAAAGTCCGGGAGGCACGCAATAAAATATAATTTACATTTATATCATAAAATCTCTCACAACTTATATGCTATAAGAAATATAGAAATATAAGTATCACATCACATAACAGAACAATAGTAACAATGAGTGATCAACTAACAATAAGGGATATGTATTTCGTTATTAGGGGGTGCCTGCCCGAGACCGAGAGCCGAACAATGTTTGGGCGAATTCTAGTCAGGCCAAAGAGTTTTTAAAAAGATTTGACGAAAATACCCCTGGTATGTGAAATAATTGTAAAGTCTGGTTTTATTGATACAAGTTGTTCAAGGGGGTATTTAAATCGTGGACGTATAACATGGGTACACCAATTTCTGTGGGAAAACAAAGAATGAGAAAACGTGTTTTTGGGATTCAATTGAAAGTTTGGCAGGAACGAAAAAACTCTTCAAGTAAGATTTCTAGGTATTTATGAGACCCACAAAAGTTGGTCGAAAACCGATGCAAGATGCAGGTTTTTTAGCACTTGTTGGTAATGCGACGATAGTTTCATGCAGATACTTGAAATTCTTCAAATTCGTAGGGTTCATACTTGTAAATAACGACAACAAAATTGGAGTCAATTGGTCAAGTAGTTAAACAATTAGAAACTCAAAAACTACTTGACCAATCGACTCCAATTTTGTTGTGGTTATTTAGAAGTATGAAGCCCACGGATTTGAAGAATTTCAAGTAGCTGCCTAAAATTATCGTCGCATTAGCAACAAGAGCCATAACCTGCATTTTGCATAACTATTTTACTATTAGTCTGATCTTTTGACGTGTGGCCTCATTCTGTAGGTCTCAAAAATACCTAAAAATCTTATTTGAATAGTTTTTTGGTTCCTGCCATCACTTGAATCCCAAAAACACGTTGTCTCATTCTTTGTTGTCGAATAAAAAGTTTTCCCACAAAAATTGGTGAAACCATTTTATGCGTCCATGTTTTGAATACAGCCTTGAACAACTTGCATCAATAAAACCACACTTTACCATTATCTCGGGGAAATGTGCTAATATCAGACTATTAGGGTTTTTTTAGCAGATTCTGTGAAAGATGGTTTTCGAATCGATGAAATGTTTTAGATACATTGTAAAACTTGTTCTTTGGCCGATTTTCGAAACAGTTTCCGACTGAGTTGGTAGACCGACATTCGCTATATGACTGGCAATTTTGGCATAATCACAGCCGATAGACCCTTTGCCAATGCTGACGTTACATAAAAAAAAGATGACTCGCTCAACTGCATTGCTCGTACCGCACAATCTTTTCTTTCAACTATCAATCTATTTCTCACTTCTTCATTTATCAATATATTATTTTTTAGTATTTTTGCTATATTTTTTTAATCATATATTATTTTTTAACTTTTTAAATATTATATTACTTAAATAATATTTTGAGAATTGCTGTTTCAGACTTTAATAATGTGACACTTCACATGGCGAAACATAAAAAAATATATTTAAAAAAATAACGAAATACTTATCAAATAGTATAAAAATTTACATTTATTATTACGTAGTGTCGCGTTATGTCTTTTATAGGGTACTCTACACGTTGAATGAGATAAAAACGAATCATCATCCGTGAGTGGTGAATATAATGTAGATACAAGTAATATATCGAAATAAAAAATAAAAACCAATATGACTCTAAAACTATAAACGTGATATATGTAAGACAAAAAAATAAAATGTTGAACTGGCATATATGATGACTAAGATTCGACTTAGGACAGTCTTCCTTCCACACGACATTCAAATTAAAAACAAACTACTCAAAAACATAAAAAGGAATCGCCATTCTAACAAAACATATACTACGCGCAATACCTAAAAAATCACAAAAATCATTCACAAATTTAATTGATACTTCTTCCAAATACTATTGACAGTAGAAAATAATATTTTGGTTATACAGGGTGATTCACAAGTCGTGACCAAAAAATGAAACATCATACATAGGATCGCATTCTATCTAACATTTGTACCATTAAAAAAATACGGGGTGTTAAAGTTTAAAAATAAAAAAACAGTTTTTTTTAATATCTTCGGAACCGTCAACCGGAATGATTCAAAATTTGGTATGTGAACTTACCTAACTGTATGATGTTTCATTCTTGGTCACTACTTGTGAACCACCCTGTATTTGCTTTCTAATGAAACTGAACGGAGTTTGATAGTGAAACGATTAAAAACAATAATACTGTTTAATAATAAATACTGTTAATACCGCATTGATAGATGATATTCTAGACATCGATGATGGGAAGTGAATAAAGCCTGACATTTTTTTTGTAAAAAGTAGATATTGCAACGCGCTAACTAAAACACAAAAACGTGACTAAGAATTTGTTGTTCGTTGTATGCGATACAGGGTAGAAGGAAGATGTCGATAAGTCGCGCCAACTCGGCTGAACACACACAGACCAGGGAATGCGGGTTGGGAAATAATCCAGTCATATTAGATAAAGGCAGAAAGCGAAAACATTTGTAGTTTTCAAGTAATTCACATTAAACAACAAGGATTTAAAACATGCATATTATGAAGAATAGTGACAAAAAATGAAACAGCTTCTTCCTCATTGATTGTTGAAAAATGAATGAGTGAGGCTAGTTATTGTACTGGTTTGGTTGACTCTGTGGGGTGGTTGTATTAAATGGCGTATAAACCGACTGACCAAACGCTTCGACTGCTAGCGTGAAAGCTAATATAACTGGATTACGGGTAAGTATGATTCGAGAGATCTTCGTGGCATCTTACGACCGACGTCGGTGCCCATTTACGGGTTGGGCGAGTAGATCCTGATGGCTTGGATGGCTGGGAGGCTGCAAACTGGGCACTGGGCGTCACTGCCGTCGCAAACCCTGTTGGCGCAGTCCACGCAGAAAAAGTTGTGGCCACAGGGCACCAGTGCGTGGGTGACCTTGGCATCGGAGCACACCAGGCATTTGGTGGCCGAGCTGAGCAACGAATCAGCAGGGGAGGTGCTGCTGGAAGGGGAGGGGCGCGTCGGGGCGGAGACTGAGGCCGCGTTGGCAGGGTTGGCACCGCCCGCGGACGCGGGGTACGTCCAGATGCTGCTCAAAGCGGCAGATGTGTCGAATCTGGAACAACGAAATCCCGGTTACTATTTTGCGTCAGAAAAAAAATGAATGTCACAAAAAATAAGTATCGAGAAAAGTGAACTTAAAAGTTTGAAGACTCCTAGACAGGGCGGGTCATAGATCTGAAGGAGTACCATAGATTCCTTGTTATAAGAAATTGAAAAAAAGTTAATTATAATAAAAATATTTTTTGATATACAGGCTAGCCCAAAAGTGGAAGCATTTTTAATGGAAAATCTTTTTATTTTTGTATTTTGAGATTCTCCTTATGATTTTAAAACACGTTAACTGTCCATGGATCATATGTGATTAATTAGACATGTTTGTCTACACGCACTTGAATCATATGTGATTGTACTTGCTTTGCCTTATGATATGTTAAAAATTGAACGTGATTTAAGCAGCTGATTATAGCATGGACGTATTAACAAGATATTGAACTCTAATTTTTTTCCAGGATGCATCATAAATGATTCGAAGACGTATTTTTTTTTGTTCGTAAAAATGATTCCAAAAAAGCCTTTTATTTATTAAAACGACTTTATTAAAGGTTTTAGAAAACCAAGGAACATAATTCTGAAAATACAACATAAAAATGGTTGGTGTTCCGGTTTTTATTTTTGTGCGTTCCAGCAAAAGATAGGCAAAATGGTTTACTACATATGGTATAATAAGTATCTTGTAGTGGGTTCCATTTTCGCGTTGCTTTTTTCTGTAGCATTCATGGCAACTTTTTCTTATAATTTTCTTTCTTGGTATTTTTGACATTTCAACAGAAGTGAATGGTTCAATGTGGGTTGTTGTTTTAGCTACTTCAAGTTCTTCAATTATTTCTTCTGTAAAAAGCAATAGATCCTTTTTTTCCGTAGATATTTCGTTGTACAATAACCAACTATTAATTACAACGGTGCCGAATATTAACTCAATTGCCACCTTTTTACACCAAATCACGAACTTACGAACTGGTGAATAGTAGCTACTTAGTTGATGCGATACATCAATTTCCTGTTTTCCTGAGTTGTAATCTGAAATGGCTTTCGTTTTGGTTACAGCAGCCCCTTCTTTACTTTTTCTCACTGTATCTGCAATATCATTCCCATGGCAAGTTGACAACATGCAAACATCACGCTTATCGTCCCACTTCAAAATTGTGATGTCCGTTGTCAAGCGATTATGTCCCCTTTTTTAAATTAGTCTTAACAACTTCTTTTGGAACTCCCTTTCGATTTTATCGTAGACTCCCACAAAGATCTGTGGAACGATCTGGTAAATATTTAGCTAAAGGGATACTGGTGTAAAAATTATCAGTTATGATGAGTCGTCCTTCATTCAATAAGCCATCAGCTGAATTTACTACCCCAGATCCAGGCTCATCCAGCATGGGAATTTTGGGATCCTCTCCACAATAAATAAAAAAGGATTACGTAAATCTCTTTGTGGTGCATAATTTATAGAACTTACACCATATTTGCTACATTTTGAGGGGTTGCATTGTATAAATTTTAATCTTCTTCTAAAAGAAATCACTTACTCGGGTATCATCGGACTATATTCACATATGATTCATGGACGTGGGATATATGTATATTATTCCAACGTATACGTTCATGAGTCATATGTGAACATGGAAGATGGAGGGGAGAGAGTGATGAGATTTTGTCTATAAAACATAGTTGAAAACATGTTATATTGGTATATTAAAAAAATATGTCTGGCATAATGGACGTGTTGCTGGACTCCCGAGAATATGCTTGGACAGTTAACGTGTAAAACATTTTTTGTGTGTTAGGCGTCCATGCCTGAATTCAACTTTGTTTAAGATATTGAGGTTAGAAATGAGCCCTTCGTCATATACGACGACCTGTAAAGTCTAAGGGTTGATTAACCAGCAAGATGCCTATCTTAGGTTTTACGATCTGTTCTAACATGAGAACTACCTTAACAGGAAGTTATTACCCAGCGCCTGGAACATGAGAAAACGGTGATTTTGTAACCTCGATAGCCCAAACCCAGAATTATTTCTAAATATTTTTTTTAATTGAGCCAGGAAGAAAACAATAAACAAAAAAAGCGTTATTCAAAAAAATATAGACCAAACAAAACCAAATTAAAGGTTACTTAACGTTCATTTTTTTTCGTCGCAGATTGGTGTATGATAAACTGTAGTAGCTACTAGTTTAGGGGGCGATTGGTGGACGTTCATCTTTTTTTCATACAACGGCTGTGACATTCATCTCTTTTTCCCCTCACGGCAAGTTTTCCATTGGGTATAATATAACTACGGACTGTGATTGTTTTTGCGTGTTTCCGATACCTCATGGGATTGTACTGCTTTAAAGGTTCCCCCACACCGACGCGATACACCGATAGCGGTAGCGTCAGCGTTAAAAATTGCACTATTATAATTATTGGCCTTAGCAAAAAAATAGTATTTTGATGTTATTCATTAGTTAATAATAATTAATAATTGTGTTTAAGGAAAAAAATAAATGGACACATGATATCAATAAACTAACAAAGATATATGGAGAATATCATACTTTAATGATGGAATCACCTAGAGATCCACAACGTTTTTACGTATACTTTCGAATGACTTCCGATTGTTTTGATGAAATCTTAAGTTTAATGATATCCCACACTCTGCAAAGTTTATACACTCTGCAAAGTTTATAGTCTTCGAGACTTAAATCGTACTTCTCAAATTGTTCAATTAATTTCTCCGTTGTGGACATCGTGAAAAACGTGGCGATATGCGATACGAACCGCGTCAGCAGCGTTTCTGAAATGAAACGCTGTCAAGGCGATAAACCGCGGGACACCCCACCGCGCTGGTATGATCGGTATTATTTACCGCTCGGAAAACTGAGCGCCGCATGAACAGCGTTGCGATTATCGCTACCGCCTTACCGTGTTGGTGTGGGGGAACCTTAAGACTACATGTTGCCGGTTCTAACTATAAAACACCAAATTTGTGACATTCATCTTTGTTCTCTGTAACCTTCAAAAAGAAAAGCTGTTTATAAATCGGACCTAACAGTAAATTGTTGAAATATCGTCATGCCTCAAGGCGCCATATACAAAGAAGCTGTCACCGTCCGTGCGAAATATTCACATTAATATTGTAAAAATAAGTTGATCTGGATAGGTAACTAAAATAAGGAATATTTAAAAAAAAAACACTACGCCCACTAGGAGCCAATTTATTTTTTTTGATTCATATCTTCTTTGTTTATAAACATTAAGACTCGAAATTTTCACCGATTTTAATCAAGGATCTCAATTTTATGACCCAGTTTATAATTTTACTATTAGTGCAAAGGTCTTTATGCATTATATCGGCTTCTAAGCAACGCAGTACCTTCTCCTTTTTAATTTGGGGTAAGCTCGTCGAAATAATGACATCTGGCACATTTTCACTTTCCTCGAAAATGGGGAAATCTCGGAAAACTTGTCACGTTGTATTCTTCAAAATTAAACTCCTATGAAATAATAATAAACTATCATTACTTTTACTCTCACTCTAATAAAATAATTTATATTTTATAATAAAATTGTTTGAACAATTAATAATTCAGTTAATTGGTATACTTCTAACAAAATACACTCTAATAAATTGTAAAAAATATTGATTCATGTTTGTCTTTCATTTATACTCATTTTATTTGCGTTCTTTGTGTTATAATAACATTATATAATGTATTTGTTTATTATAATTATTTTTTAATTAACCTTGATCCTCCGTTCTAAATTTTTAACTTTCACGCTCTACTTCTTCAATATTTGTATAACTAATTTCTTCAAATAAGACGTCAGTCTCAGTCTGCTCTTCATCATCGTCAGTTCCAATTACAGCAAGGTTGTAGCATTTTGTCTGAAAAATTTTTATCTTCGCGCCTATTGGTCAGACCAGATTTGTTTTAAATTTGCTTTTTTTAACCACCTATCCAGATTCAACTTGTAAAAATAAAAAAATATATTTCAAAATAACGAGGTTATTGTAAATTAATGTTCATCACTATAAAAATGGCTATTTTTAACAGCATTTTCAACAGCAATTTTAAAATAAATATATAATTAATCTTTTGCATAAATTCTTGAAGTTGGAACTTTGAAGAATGAATTTCACTTTTGTGAAATGTTCTAGGGCAAAAAAGTTTAAATAATTCGTCTCCGAGATAAATAGACTATTAAACCGATCCGGCTATAATTTAGTACACATATTAACACCAATGATGCCCTCAATTTCACAGTTGTTATTGCAATAGTTAATAACATTTATTTCAATATTGCTAAAAAGCCCCGTATTTAGCTTAAATTTTTATCGATTTCAATTCCTTAAAAAAAAACTGAAGGTCATTTTATGCTCTAAAATCATCAGTTTTTCGACTATTTATAAAACTTAATTTGAAAATGACACAAGAAAAATACTGAATTTTCCATTATATAAAAAACAACGCATATCTGGCTGTATCTTTTTATGTATTTATCATTAGAAAGATCCCTCCCTTCCATTTAAAACTTTCAGATCTCTGCTTTTTTCACCTTTTTTATCTAGCCTGGACTATATCTAAAACAAACCGATTCTTGTTTATTGGATTATAATCACCAAAAATATAATTGTTGTTATGGGTATAGGTAGTTTTAGCAAATAGTCAACTTACAGCGTTGGCGAGTCTCCAAGTCCCTCATCCCTGTCGCTTCCGCTCCAGATGGCGCCCAGATCTCTTCCGTTACTGCTGGAGCTGCTGGAGCACGATCCGGAGCTAGAAAAAGCGCCGCTGCTTCCCGTCGACGAGGTCATGGCGGGAAAGGTGTCCACTGAGGCCTGACCGCCCGTCGGCTCCATGTAGTTCAGGATTGAGCTAAAACCCGACTTGTACAGAGAAGCGATCAAGTCGGTTTCGTCCAAAGGGGGCAGGCCGTTCAGTCCTCCGGCAGCGTTGCCGGTACGCATCGCGATGTGGGCTTCGATCTCTCTGCGAGCCGCTTCAACGCTCTCCGGGAGTCCGGTCACCTGGAACAAGCGATAACGCGCTATGAGGTTTGGACTTTATAGATGAGAAGCGTAAAAGCCCGAATAACTACAGTATATTCAGATAAGAGATAGACCGGACATAAACAAGACCACGTGATCATCGAACGCTGTAACATTCGGCAGGGACGTATTAAGAGTCACGCTGTACATATTTTAGATAGTAGATGCTGCTTTGCGTAACTTTGTAGTAAATTAGCACAATTCGATGTGTATACGATTGGTGATGGATATAGGATCATGTGGGGGTGGGGTAAGAAATATATAATGATGTAAATATACATAAGGGTTTCAAAATTTTCGCTTCGATTTCCAGCTTCGGATGCCGCCTGATGTTTGGTGAAATACAGTCGAATATAATCTCAAAATGGCGTTTAAATTAGCCTAAATTAAAAACAATCGTATATCTCTTAAAATTGCTAGATTCTTGAATAGGTTTTGCCAAAATGGGTTCAAAAATGTCAATAATTAATTAAAAAATACAGTAGCTTTGTAATTACTTATAACTTACCGAATTTGATGAACGACATCTTTTATTGGAAAGATGAGCTTGATGAGCTTTCATCATCGCTACTGGCTGAAGCACCAACGTCAATAATGAATGGCTCGACTTGTTCCTCTAAAATATTGTCCAGTTCCCACATTCTCTTTTCAACTTTGTCTTTCACGTGCTTAATACAGTTTTCCCATTTTTGCGCTGTTATTAATTCTAGTGCTTCTTTGAAAAGTCCTTTGAGGTCACAAAATTTAAAAGTTGTATTGTGCTTAGCTATATAATTTTTAACCTCTGCCCATATGAGCTCAATGGGATTGAGCTCGCAATGGTATGGAGGTAAACGGAGCTCAGTTTTATTTTGACTTGCTGCCATTTCGTCAATGGCGTATTTTTGATATTCCGCCTTGTGATCCTTGACAATTCTTAATAATTGTACTTTCAGCATTGCTTCTTCAAAGTTGATATTTTTCGAGCGGAGCCAATTTTGAACATCAACTTTCCTTGAAGCCGTTGTTGGGACCTTCTCCATTCTTCGAGAATGATAAGGCGCATTATCCAACACAATTACTGCGTTTTCCTCTAAGTTCGGTAAAATGTTTACTGGTCATTGGCTCAGAAAAGGTGTGATTTTTTTTTGTATTGTCTTAACACATTAAACACTGATGCGCGACACACCCCAACTTTGTGAGAAACCTTCACAACAATTTCTTTGATGGTTGATGCCTCGTTCTTCTCGCGCTCGATCTTATACATATTCAAAATGACCTCTTTCATTTCTGCACTCAGGTGTCTTTTTTAAGAGCGTTTCCTAGGTGGACTACAGGAGTTTACAACTTCATCGGCAGTATCTGTACTACTGGGCATTTTGCGCAAGCAGTCGATAACAATAACAATCAATAACAAGGTATAACAATAACAACGACAAACTCAACAACTTAATAAGATAACAAACGAAAACGTCCAAAGAAATATCAAATTGCAATGATGCACAACGACATACGTAACACGTCTGAACCTGAATGTGACTCTGCCTTGATACGACTGCTCTGCCGCTCGGCATAGTCATTTAATTGCGAATTGACCAATGAGGGCTCCTGTTTTACGTCGAGACGGCGGCGTTAGCGTGAAAATCACCCGAACCTTTTGTTTACATCCGGTCTATCTCTTATCTGAACATACTGTAGGAGAAGAATGTACGGAAGAACGTTGACACGTTCACCGACGGACTGTCTCTCAGATATGCCAAAAAGCGTAGGAGGTGCCTGCACGTATGAATCAGATGTAGGAGCTGCCTGCATGTATACTAAGTCACATATAAATCCGAACACCCAGTTTAAATGGTTTTATTTTAATAAAAGTTGGTGAATGTATTTATCTTACTGTAAATAACAAGTGAAAAAATTTTCAGCCTTATCAGTTGGATATTCCGGTTTTTATACTGCTTTTTTTTAATTCACTAACGCTCTAAAAATGAATATTTCAACCGCAGTAAAGAATCAACGTTGACGGATTTTGGTTCTTGACATCCTTTACGATCGGTTACGATGCCTAGAGTACGGAGACCTGTACGATTTCGTCAACTTAGTCAGTTTGATAGGGGCCGTATAGTGGGACTTCGGGAAGCTGGACTTTCTTTTCGGGCAATTGCAGTTAGAGTGCAAAGAAGTGTAGACTCTGTGGTTAGGTGTTGTCAGGCATGGCTTCGAGAAGGCCGTACGCAAAGAGCAAGGGGCACTGGACGCCGCCGTAGAACAACAGACCGTGAAGATCGCCGCCTAAGATTGTTGGCCTTAAGGGACCGTTTCTCCACTACCAGGTCCATTGCAAATGAATGGTTTGCAGAACACCTAAGACCTATTGGCATGCGAAGTGTTTACCGACGAATGAGAAGTTTTGGCTTGTTTTCATACCGGCCACACTGGGTCCTCCCTTTAACTCGAGAACCCCGACGTAATCGCCTTGAGTGTTGCAGACAACGGTCACTCTGGGATCAGGAATGGAACAGTATTGTCTTTAGTGACGAGTATCGATTTTGTTTAGGCATGCACGATGGTCGTGCCAGGGTTAGAAGGCGACGTGGTGAAAGGAGGAATCCACAGTATGTTGTTGAAAGACATGTTCATCACACTGTTGGAGTTATGGTTTGGGGTACTATAGCTTATGGTTCCAGGTTACCTTTAATCTTCATCAGAGGTAAGATGAACGCGCAGCGTTATATCCACGAAGTTCTAGAACCCCATCTTTTACCCTATCTTGACACCCTGGCAGATCCAACTTTCCAACAAGATAATGCCCGACCACATGTTGCAAGAGTCACAATAGACTTCTTTCAACATAATGATGTCACATTGTTACCATGGCCACCAAGATATCCCGACTTATCCCCAATTGAGCACGTGTGGGATATGATGGGTAGGAGATTGCTCAATTTGCAACGTCCTCCTCAGACTCTAGAAGCACTTCGAGAGGAGTCGGTGGTTGCCTGGAATGAGATACCACAGGAGGACATTGACCACCTGATCAGAAGCATGCCTAGGCGCGTTGGAGAATGCGTAGCACATCAGGGTGCATCCACACATTATTAAAGGTCAAAGGGCTTTAAAGCAGTGCAATCATTTTGAAATTTTTATAATTTACTTATGCTTCATTAAGTACTTATACAAAATTTTATTAAAATAAAACCATTTAAAGTGGGTGTTCGGATTTATATGTCACTTAGTATATTAATCAGATGTATCAGGTTTGGCACACTAGGGGACAGTCACCTCCTTGCGCACCACTGAGTTCTTCACAAGACCACAATTTGGTTTTGATTGGCTATCAGCAAGACCTGTACCGTAAAAAAATATTTGTTCCTACAATTGTGGCGACAGTATTTTTTTTTGTTATATGGTTAGATTACACTGATAAACAGAGGACAATTTTTGGGTGTATCTTATGAACTTTGAGAACCTTAAATCAAATCTAAAAACAGATTTTTTTTATCAAACACAGATATTGGGTAACATCTACTTTTATGAATTACAATACGTAACATCTCATATTGCTGCATATAATGTTAAGACCTGTCTATTCCTGTTTATTATATGCGAGCTCTATGTTTAGAGAGCATACAGGGTTGCCAGGCGTGGCGAATTTTCGCCAAATTGGCGATTTAACGGCTTCAAATGGCGACTAAAATGGATAGCTTGGCGATTGGCTACTTTAGTGGCGCCCCGTATCCAGCAAAAATTGCCGATATCTGGCGATTTTTAGCATTCCTGACGCCACCTAATTTGTAATCCATTTTTGCCGATATAATAATAATAATAAAGCAATACAAAAACAATAAATACATTTGATAGGTTACAAGTTTAAAAATGTAAGTGTATAAAAATATGATGTATATAACATACATAACTGAAGGCTATTCAATAATTCACGAGTTAAAAGTATAAAATTGTAACAGTTATACAAATAAAGGAATGCTATATTGGAAATATTTTTGTGTGAGGTAACAGATAAATTTTATCTACTAATTTAAATACTTCTAGGTATTCAAAATAAATTTCTTCATATGTTTTAAATTCATCATAAGATAGCAATTTTTTGGATTGAGGTATAGCATTGTAAAAAATAGTTGTATAGATTAATGAAACGAGCACCAGCGCTGCTCTAAGCACAATGGATCCGACCCATGTGACTGCACTTACAGTTTAGTTTCAGATTACACGTGCCCAGTCAAGTAATTGTTTATTATCATATAATATTATTTATTATGCCTAACCTCCCTCACCTCCGCTCTTCAGTTAACAAGCTAGGCTACTACCCCTCCCCCCCCCCTCCCTTAAATTCATTCCAATCTCTAGCCTGGCTGACTCCTAGTTATTTCACAGATTGGCGATTTCTGACGATTTTCTCATCAAAACTTTGCGACCAACGTGACCGAAAACCTGGCAAACTCTAAGAGCATATATTGCGTTTATTAGTAGACTAATAGCAGCCGACTCAGTTACGTTTTATGTGTCGAAGAGTACTGAGACGTTCTGAGTACTGTTAATTTTTGTTAAAACGGTGTGTTGTTTTTAGTTTATTGTGATCGAGACACACGCTTTATGGACAATTCCTAGAAATTGTGTGCGAAAAGTCTTTGTTATGTGTGCAGGGAGCTAACTTTTAAATCCCAAAAACGTACATTTAGTCCCCTTGTGTTGAAAGCATACGAACTTTATTTTGGAATTAAAGTTGGCGATCAAGAAAAACTATGGGGCCCTCATATAACTACGATATTATTTGAGCAAACA